AGGCTCGTCTGAATTAAGGTAATACCCCCTGTATATTTTTATTTCACACTTTTTTATTCCTGATTTTAGATTTGTACGTTGGTCTCTCGTCATTTTTGTCGGTTTTAAATTGGATTGCTCTTTTTTTTATCGAAGGTAAATTTTCGTATAATGTTATGTTTTTATTGTACAGTATATCACCTGTATTTTAAAACTTTTTCAAAACTTTTTGTTTTCTAGGCTCTGATGATGGAAAATAATTTTTCCGAAACGTTAGTGATTAAAAGAAACCCAACTTAGTCAAGATGTTTGTTTTCTCCCTGGTTCTCCTCTTCGTTACACACATATATATATATATATATATATATATATATATATATATATATATATATATATATATATATATATATATATATATAGGACTATCTTATGTGTGTGACCGGGGAACGTTTCTAGACCACAAGGACACTAAAAGCAGTCCTAGTGGTCCAGAAGTACATCCTCGTTCTGGTCAGAAGTTCGAGCGCTTTATGATTAATGAAATATATATATATATATATATATTATTGAAATCATTCAAGAATTTATCACCACTTATACAAGTCATTACCTCGGAAAAACAAAATATTCATACCTTCATGCTTCTATAAATGAATACTTTCGTGCACATGAAGCATTACACTACAGTAAACTGTATATGAGAGGAAGTGTGTAACATTTCCTCATGTATCAGCATGATTCCATCATTAAACGTTGTCGCCTGGTCGTTATTCTTCTTGACTTTTCTGATAGTAATGAGACAAGGAACTCCAGTTTCCAAGCAGCTGGTAGAGAAGAGTGAAAAGTTCCTCCGAACAAAAAGATGTGTCGTAAGGTTCTCGTATCAGCAAGATGTAGCAGCAGAAGACAATGGTTGGAGCCAGATTTAATGGTTGTTCCATTTGATTTATCATCCAATATCAGAGCGAGTGAAGGACGGACCCCCTACCCCCTTCCCTGGCACTTAAGCCTCCCCCGTCGTCCTGGACCGTTCACCACACGTCAGCAACACAATGGAAACTTTCCACAACCACACTATAAGGAGATATCGGTTTTAGCTTTTCCCATACATGTTTTTGTCTTTTTAACGATTGACTTCAATTATCCACCATTCAATCCTGAAAATATATACAATTCCTTAAGACTACACAAATGGCTGTAAACATGTTGTAGATGAAGTGTGGCGTCTGATGGTGGGTCAGGGACACGTGTTGACAATACTACTCTCTCTACCTCTTAAGCCATGACTCATGAGTCTCATGTTAGACAACTTTTATTTTTTATTGTTTTCATTATAGTTCATTGGCAGAATTTGCAATAGTTTTCATGCAAACTGAATTCTCCATTTCCCAAGTCGCAATATAATGAAGAGCTAATATAATTTATACAAACTGTCATCATTGTATTATTGATATGGAAATCCTCTTTATATATCTATATAATCCTCCTTTTCCTTACATTTAAAGATAGGGCGTTCAAAACCGTCCACAGAAGGATTATGGCGACAAATAGTGTAATTGATCAAACCTGCGGACTAGAATTGTACCGGTGAACACTGGGGCCAGGATGTAGTAGAAGCGTGAGTGGAAGCTCAAACTTTGGCCCCTCTCCTGGGTGCTCGCCCCAACACTTACCACACAACTTTCTCTGCTCCCCGTGGTGAGTGTTCCCCTCTGGGTATTAAAGTTAGTAACGGCCAGTTTGCTCCCCAGTCTCTCTGGTTGCTAGGTCGAACTTTTGTCTAGAAAAGGTATATCACAGTTACAGTTTGTACCGTTATCAGTATTTGCGCAGTTTGTCTTTGTTTTAAAGTAACAACAAATTGTAATGAATTTCAATGAACTATGTATATATAATGTATATATCAAGCTTGTTTGTTGAAGGAAAGCCAATAATTTATGTATATCTTTTACTACATTACATCTACGATAGCGCCAGGTAACCGTTACCTGGCAGTGGAGGAGGTGGGATATGGGCAATCAGACGGATCCCTTCTACCAAGCAGTTTGTTTGGTACTAGTCTGGAGAAGTCCCCCCCCGCCCCCCCTCTTTTATCTGGTGAGCATTGTGGCAGAGTAGATAGCGTGGAAGGGAGGGTTGAGCTGACTGCACCCACAGACAACAATGCGTTGTATCAGTAGTAATTGTGAACGAATCGCTACACCTAACATAACAATATGTTAGGAACATTAATGACAACTATTTACAATAAGAACAAGACACTGCATTTTTGCGTTCGCATAAATTATAATATTAATGCGTTTCAGCAACTAAGGTCATTATGCGTGTAACATCAACAATTTAAAATTATGAGATAAAAACACTGCAGTCACATACAAGTCTGTCACACGATATATTCCTGGATGATCCATCTGAAATCTAATGGGGACCAAAGTGATATCATGGGGACCAATGTACTGTACTGCCAAGTATCAATCAAATTTTTAAAATGCATCAAAAGTTATAGTTTACTTGAAGGATAGACCACGGTCACGGAATCAGTTCACTTAATCATTATCCCTCACTTCATAAGTCACGTGGAGAAGATCGTTGAGCACCTCAGCTTCCTAGAAACAGAGTTAGGTAAATACATAACTGATATCAACACGGTAGATGTAGGCATGGTTTTCACAAGAGATCCCTTTAAGTATATTTATTATTGATAGTACCCCAGAAGCCATCCAAGAAGAGGTCTTAAAATTAATGAATGATTCCTCAGTCAAGTACGAACTTAGAATCCTCAATCTTCCTGCCTTGTGAACCTAGGTCTATCCAAAAGTGAGTGCCCCATCTCTCTTGGCAATAAAATGATAGGCTTCTAATAAGTTGGAAGTGGAAGGGGCCTGATATGCTTCTCGAATTGAACAAACAATGGCGAAGAAGCAAATCTAGAAAAGTGATTCGCAAAAATATTATTATGTATTGTGTTCATATCACTAACGACACATCCATGTTGAAAAGGCTGTTTGCCACACCATAATGTCACAGTATTCCGGAATATTTTATTGCAGCATTTTCTACCTTTTCAGGCTGATGGCAAAGGTTTATATTTTTATTTAGTTTGGACAAAATTTACTTATTTAATCATTCAAATATATGAATCGTTCATCATTATAGTTACCCTATCATATAAAAATCTTACAATAATAAAGATACGAAATGTTCGATCCAATTTTTCTTATTATATAACTTCCCTAATAAAGTCGTTTGGGTGAGGGGAAATGGTTCGATAATGACCAACGTGGGAAACTGCGAAGAAAGTGTTGAGAACTGATGTTGTAGAGACTGATATACCCATCAGCTTTTACCTGAATTGTGGAAGGTGACGAGAAGCTTACGGGTGAAGCCTTGAGTTGACTCATAAGCGCCATATGAACGGCCAGTAACCGTGGCCATTTTGAGTGGCCAGTAATCCTACACCACTGAGTGGCCATTTATCCCTTATGGGAGGCAGAAGTTAAGCCTCATGCTCTCGGTTACGGCGTCACACACAACCACCTCAATCTATCGCGCAGGAATCATGAAATTTTATTATGTTATAGCATTTAAAAATTTCCTCTAATATTTGTGTAGTCGGAGACCTCGAATAACCGGTTCTAGGAAACCCACACGAGGAAGAGAAAATAACAAACCAACAAATTTTGAAACCTTTTCACAGAACCTTCAATTGGTCTTGATTGATATAAAATATAATGGTATCATTAAGCTTGATGCCCATTATACTTTGAATCTCACAAACCATTATGGTTCAGTACCCATTAAGACATAATATTACTTGCAATTGAAGATTTAGTCTGAAATCTTGGGTACCAATAACTTTAGTGCCCATTAGCACTTGGAGTTCACTTATTTCCTAATGTGACCTAATTTTAACCAAAAATTTTATTTTCTAATAAATCTCGGCTAACCATAGTCTGGGGTCCTCATGGACCCATGTCCTAGTAAGACCCAAATATGATGTATTGTATAAAGAAGACTTGAGTTCACAACTTAATGTCCGTAAGCTTCAATCAATCGGTCAAAGTAGCATTGTAATATCTGAGGGTTGGCGACCACAGTCCTCCATTATAAATGTTTTCGGGCTGTTCTTAGCAATCCTCCGAGAGTTTGCTTCACTCTGGGGCCCCCTTTTGAATTTTTTTCATCCAACCAAGCTCCTCCTTTCCCCTAATTGTGTAAATTTCAAGTATTTCTCGTAAAACAATCTCCACAGGGGGTGTTAAATACTTTTGCTTGAACGTTGAAATATGCACTGGTTCTAAGCTGTTTTAGTGCTACACCTTTTCCAGTGCCGAACACTCTTGATGTTGCGTCACATCCTAATGGGGCATGGACAAAGTGGGTGTTTTCACATACACGTGCACCTAGAATTTGTCTTGTCAGTTTGAGGAATTCCTGTAAAACGCAATGTAAAGATTTTTTTTTTTGCAATTTGGATTGGGTTAGGCCTAATATTTTCATAATTTACTTAACTCTTGTGCTGTTAGCAATACTACTGTCATTGTTGAGCAATTATTGCAATATAAGAACTTAAAGAAAATACTCAATTATATATCATGAGATTAATTAAACACCAATTAACAGATTTTTGCACTATTATCTAAATGTTTACATTTATACAGATTTCATCAATACCTTGGGTGATTCAGAGATCATTATGGCTTAGAAATTATCTGTAGTAAACAATTGCTTATACATATCACAGTAAAGACATTGGTAATGAGAACGTGTAAACGAAGACAAGAGTCATGACCCTGGTCTGGAAACCTAACCTGCACCACCAGCTGTAATACCCAGGTTTATGGCGCAGCAAACTTGATCCGAAACATAAACAAGGAGAAGCGGAGATCTTTACGTGCCCTGTTGTTGAAATGGTTTTATCCAAGCTTGCTATGTTGAAGTGATAGTGGCAAGGCTATGTTGAAGAGGCTAATGTTTTGGCTATGTTGAAGTAATACTGTCCGGCGGGCCGCAGGTATTTTTCACGTTATGTAGAAGTAATAAAGTTTAGGCTGTGTTGAATCGGCAGTGGTACAGATTGTGTTGAATCGGCAGTGGTACGGGCTGCGTTGAAGCGGCAGTGGTACGGGCTGCGTTGAAGCGGCAGTGGTACGGGCTGCGTTGAAGCGGCAGTGGTACGGGCTGCGTTGAAGCGGCAGTGGTACGGGCTGCGTTGAAGCGGCAGTGGTACGGGCTGCGTTGAAGCGGCAGTGGTACGGGCTGCGTTGAAGCGGCAGTACGGGCTGCGTTGAAGCGGCAGTGGTACGGGCTGCGTTGAAGCGGCAGTGGTACGGGCCGCGTTGAAGCGGCAGTGGTACGGGCTGCGTTGAAGGGCACGGGCTGCGTTGGTACGGGCTGCGTTGAAGCGGCAGTGGTACGGGCTGCGTTGAAGCGGCAGTGGTACGGGCTGCGTTGAAGCGGCAGTGGTACGGGCTGCGTTGAAGCGGCAGTGGTACGGGCTGCGTTGAAGCGGTGCGGTACGGGCTGCGCGAAGCGGCAGTGGTACGGGCTGCGTTGAAGCGGGTGGTACGGGCTGCGTTGAAGCGGCTGCGTTGAAGCGGCAGTGGTACGGGCTGTTGAAGCGGCAGCGGCAGTGGTACGGGCTGCGTTGAAGGCCGGCTGCGTTGAAGCGGCAGGCAGCTGGTTGAAGCGGCAGGCTGCGTTGAAGCGGCAGTGGTACGGGCTGCGTTAGCGGCAGTGGTACGGGCTGCGTTGAAGCGGCAGTGGTACGGGCTGCGTTGAAGCGGCAGTGGTACGGGCTGCGTTGAAGCGGCAGTGTACAGTTTGTATATTTCTTCAAGTGTCCCGCACCTCTGGCTCCCGTGTCGACACGAAACACTCCGGCAATGCCTCACAAACATCCTTCGACTCCTTGTTGCACCTATACTGACATGCTACGACTCCTTGTTGCACCTATACTGACATGCTACGATTCCTTGTTGCACCTATACTGACATGCTACGATTCCTTGCTGCACCTACCGAGATCCTACGACTCCTTTCTGCACCTACCTAGATCCTACTACTCCTTGCTGCACCTATACTGACATGCTACGATTCCTTGCTGCACCTACCGAGATCCTACGATTCCTATATCCCAAACCAAATCCTGATTGTATTTACTTCTAATATATATATCTTTATTTCAATACTGTTAACTTTTGTTCTACTGTCCTCATCAAAGACGCCACAAATGGATACATAGCTTCCAGGCCGTGTTGGAGTGGTAGTATCCAGTTTATGTTGAAGTGGTGTTATTTGGACTATGTTGAAATGGTCGTGTCTAGAATCCATGCGTGGTATAACGCTGAACCTGTATCTGTGTTATTGACTTTGAGTATTTAGGTGTTATTGATCTGGGTGGCTATTAGAGGCCTGAGTCTCTATTAGTACTTTTAAGGTGTTTATGTGATAGTTATTGGCATAAGTTGTGTATAAGAGTTACTGACTTGCACCTGTGTGAGCGTTATTGACCTGAGTGTAAAAGGATATCAGTATCGATATTCTTATGAAAGCGGCGATTGCAGTGTACGGGGCAGTGTAGCGTGTGTGTGTGACTCAGTAGGTACAGCGTCACACACGAATGGCCAGAGTGTTTGGTTCAAGAGATAACTATAATAGTAAATAAGGGATAGTGGGCACATTGTGAGGAACAGTGGCCACACATATATTTATATATATATATATAAAATACACGCACAATGAACGCCTGGTGTCAACCCAGTTGTTAATTCCTCTCGCCATTTCCTCAAAGCCTTGTCCTGTGGTTCGCGTAAAAGCGACAACGATCCTATTAATTTAAGCGCTTACCCTGCTTGTCCGTCAGCCAGATGATCTCTGGAAATGTGGTCACTGTGTGGCCTTACTTTATATTATAGTTTTAGTTAAGCTTTACAAACTGGCAACAAGGCTCGGGTTCGTTCTCAACGTTGCTGCTCCACTAGTTGGTACTCTCACCCAGCATCCGGTCCCTTGATATAAAAATATAGAAACGCTTTTAGGTAACAGAATATTCGGGATCGTTATTATAGCATATGTGTCAAGTATCATTATATCTCATTGTAATCCTTGTGTGAGATTATAACGAGCCGGAAATTTTTAACGGCTTCAATTGTACGTGATCAACGCTTGTATGATTGGGAAATGAAGAGCAATAATAATAATAATAATAATAATAATAATAATAATAATAATAATAATAATGAGAAACATTGGTGACAATATTTTCAAAACACAAAAGAAAAGCGACTAAAAATTCTTGACTACAGGAAAAATTGCGATAATTACGAGATTAAGTTTGTGAACTGAACAAATTGAGCTGTGGTTAATAAAACAGAAATGAAAAAATGTAGAGGAAATATCTCTATGAGAGATTGTCAGCGTACCTGTAGCATATAAGAACAAATGAACGTCATTTGTGAGAGAGGAATGACGAGAGAATGGATGCAGCAATAGACTAAAGTAAAGAAGTAATTAGAAAAAAAAAAATAACACTCACAAGGTTTTAAAGAGACTGATAAATTATTCTGGGTGAAATTACATACAAGGAGAAAATGAAGAAAAACAAGTGGAAATGACAACTTAGAACGAAAAAGGGGAATGTGTGCAGAATAATGAAATTGATAATAGCAAGAAAATATCCTGCATAGAGCGTGGTGTAGAAAAGAGAGGCAAAAATAAATGAGAATTGGAGACTTGCCTTAAGGGTGTATGATTCAAGAGTGTGTGTGTGTGTGTGTGTGTGTGTGTGTGTGTCATGCTCAGTTGGGATACCCGCCGACTAATCTATAAAAACAATTAACTATTTTGCTTTATAGATATAATAATTTTATTACTATACGTTAATGAAAAATAATAAGAAAATTGTAAAAACTAATTCGGTTTAATTTAAGAAGTCCTACCCATAGTTAGATAAACAAATTATATTATTCACTTTAATTTTTTGATTGTAGGTGTACATGTTTCAGGGTGTCCCGTGTATATGTTTCAGGGTGTCCCGTGTATATGTTTCAGGATGCCCCGGTCACATGTTTCAGGGTGTCCCGTGTATATGTTTCAGGGTGTCCCGTGTATATGTTTCAGGGTGTCCCGTGTATATGTTTCAGGGTGTCCCGTGTATATGTTTCAGGGTGTCCCGTGTATATGTTTCAGGATGCCCCGGTCACATGTTTCAGGGTGTCCCGTGTATATGTTTCAGGGTGTCCCGTGTATATGTTTCAGGATGCCCCGGTCACATGTTTCAGGGTGTCCCGTGTATATGTTTCAGGATGCCTCGGTCACATAATGTTTCAAAACCTTCTCTGTGATAAGCCAGCATTATTAAATCACAAATTCTATGAGTAGCTTTCCTTAACAGTTTCTGGAAACATTCAGGAACAAACTTCAGAAGCAAGAGATTTACTTGTAGCTGCAGATAACGTTTATACAATAAAAGGCAGTACTGTATCTTTATTACATTAGGAGCAAGTAGCAAATTAAGATTTACTGACGACTAATCCAACTTGTATCATCCGACAATGCTGACATAAATCATTTATGAATTATTAGAATTTCATATTAAAATCCAATTCGCTCATTTTGAGTTGATCTGCAGGAGCAAACCTTTACGTAATGCCAACGCTTCTGTAGCCTCACATACACAAAAATGCTTGGAAACTACATTCTTGTCAAGAACTTAGATCGCTTCAAAAGAAAATGAAACTTGTTTTGAAAAGACTTCTATCAAAGGTACGTTAATTTCCCTGCAGTAAGTCTTTGAAGTGTTAAAATTTTGAATGAACTTGGAAAAAATCTTAATGAGAAGAGCTAAGGAATTAAGTAAGATGAGATCAGGAAAAATATAGCTATATTTAGTTATGAATAAATTGTTACAAATCGTGTGATAAAATAATGCAGATGTGATAATTTGTCACTAAGGCTGAGTGAATCTACGAAGACACATTAATAAAAAAAAAGAGAGATACAAGGTGGCGGCTCCTAAGATACGCGGTGTGTCACTTATCCAAGCCAGTAGTGGCCAGGGTAAGGTGGTTATTAGTCCCAGAAGTGGCCAGAGTAAGGTGGTTATTAGTACCAGTAGTGGCCAGATAAGTTGTACTCTACTAATAAGAACACCGTCTTCATTTCTCCTGCTTGGATATCTGCGTTTGAGGCAGATATACTTTGCAGATGAATTTTTCGTTGGGTGCGAATATTTCACTGGTAGGTATCACAGCTGTACCAAGGCCTGACGGAGTAGTTATGATGTTATTGTTTGTGTCGTGGAATGGTGAACTTTATTCAGACGGTGTGGCCACATCATCCCCTAGTGGTAGTTGCTATTCTGTGTAATCAACATCGGTGTTTTCATATGTGGATATCACACCCTGGGTTCAAATTGACTAGAGCCACGACCCCGTGTTCTTGTATATATTCTGGCAATACAGCAAAAGCAAGTCTATCAGTTTCAATCTCCCCTCACTCATCCCTGAGTTAGAACAGTTGAATCACTGAACACATTCCAAAGAGCAAGCTTTCCTTTTCCAGCAAAACTCCTTGTTACGTCAGCACCACATATTACATGAAGCCCAGGCAAAGCTGCGCGACCTTGCTGGAGCCAAGGACCTCATAAATGGGTCCACTGGGATCGCGTAATGTCTTTGACAAGTTCCAATCACAAAGTTGGTATACTTGCAAAATTTTGGATGTCTCCTGAGAAGCAAAACACGAAAATCTGTGTCTGGTGAGTAGATATCAAAATACGAGGCTCCTTCCGCTGTAGCATCAAGAGCATGCAAATTCAGTTTTTGTCTGCTTCTTCATGGTCACTTCATGCTCATGTGGTTGTGCCCCAGGTCACCGCCACGCAGTTGTACAATTTAGTAGAATCGTCTCGGGTAGATAGCATGTTACGTCCATCTTGGTTTTTACAGTTGATAAAGAATAGCTTCATTTGAATCTGCTATATAATATAGGGTGTTGCATTTACATCTAACACGTTTATTAGCGCTGTAAAAAATTAATGATCAACGTAAATGCTCTGCATAACACAGGGATACAAGATTATGCTGTGACTTAACACCATTTATTTCTTAACAATTACCTCTGACAAATGGGCCAAGAAATGTCCTTCGAAATGAAGGCTGCTTTTGAATAACGGAATTTGTTTGAATAAAGAGCTTCACCAGATTAATTCTTGTCGGTAGGTCGTAGTGTTCCATCACTCGAAACTTAGGCATCACCTGAAACACAGGAAAAAAAAAATTAGTTACGACATTACTAATTCCGGCCATAATGATTACAAATGTGTCGGATAGAACACCCTGTATATTGGTATCAGTGGCATGGTAAAATATGGTTGGCGAAACTTGTCTCTTGTCACGGGTGTCTGTCTTCAGTGATGATGGCACCTCATTGTGGTCAAATACTGTGAGGAAGTCGTCTTCGTAACTCTCTGTTTTTGCAGAATGTCCGATCATTTCTCTTGTAACCATGTGCAGAGGATACTTGTAAGATGATTCTCTATTTACAAAAGAAACAAAGATATTTGTTATATGAGGCTACAAGGGAGCATGTCAAGGCGCTATTGTGAGAAGGGTTACTTAAATACTGTTTGTCTCTGGCACAGTTATTCTTGGTCGGCTGTTAATATCATCCTGTCGGTCCTTTCCCACCCATGAACCCTGAGACATCACACATTGTTGGATCTATAGATGACGCACTGTGTGATATCTCGGATTCGCAAGTTCATGAATCTCAGGGTTCATGGATAGGACGGGGGACTGGCAGAACTTTTTTGGTGGGTGTACTGTACACCCCTGCATGTACAGTGTTTTGATAGTACATTTTATGCCAAGAGGCTGATCTGAATTCCAGCTCGTCAT